TGAAGAAGCAAGTTGGTTGAGAGGATTGTTGTCAGAGATTCCCCTATGGGAAAGGCCGGTCCCTCCAGTATTGATCCATTGTGATAGTACCGCAGCTATCGCTAAAGTTGAGAACCAGTTCTATAACGGAAAGAAACGACAGATTCGTCGTAAGCACAGTACTGTAAGAGAACTCCTAACGATAGGAGCAGTGAGGGTGGATCATATAAGATCCGAACAGAATCTAGCTGATCCTTTGACAAAAGGATTACCTAGAGAGAAAGTCCAGAATACCGCCAAGGGTATGGGACTTATGCCTACCGAACCACGGACTACAAGTGATGGTAACCCGACCCAATAGACTGGAGATCCCAAGAAATGGGTTCAATGGGTAATAACAAGTCATGAGTAGTATGCGAAAAGTTCATGCATAGTGAAGCATGAATCCCAAAGCAATGGAGGTTGAGTTAATAACTCTTAATGAGATCTATACCCTATGTGGGGTGGAGTACTTTACTTTGGGGGTACTCCTGATAGACTCACCTATGTGAATGTGGGAGTGGGGCCGCTCCCTATGGAACTTTGGAGGCACAAAGTTGCTAGAGCGTTCACTAAACCAGGATAACGTGCATGGCCATAAACGCACGGGCTATGAAGAGAACACAACTCAATGAAAAAATCCGGTGTGCTACAATGTCTGAGATAGGGTTCAAGACTATGAGTCACCCTTATGAAATCGGAAGTGTAACCACTACGCTAAGGTTCAAATCTTCGCGATACCTTAGCTTATGCCCGATCTTATGGAACTGTTGATGCTCAGAGATAGTTTCAAAACTATTCAAGTGGGGGATTGTTGGAAATGTATATGAATAGCCTTGAAAGTTATAGAGTCTCAAGTGGAAAAACTACCACATTGGTAGTTTTACTTGGTGAAATGGGTATAAAGATAGGAGCCTCTCTCCTAAGGGCATGCCCCTTGGGGTGACCCGCTTTTGTGGGAGAGGGAGGACCTAACAGACCACCACACACACACGCGCGCGCGCGCCGTCCGTTCGACCAAACGGCCGGCCGGTCGGTTGGTTGGTTGGTTGGTTCACTTGAGACTACATATATATTTTTGGAGAAATTCCGAACGAAATTAATTATCTAATAATTGATTATTAATCGGTTATTATGAGGAATATTCTAAGGATAATCCCTCCGGGTTTATCTTAACCGACGATTTTAATTAAGGAAGTAATTATCTTCCTTAATTAATCCGACTTATTCCCCAAGCAAGAGGGTATATTCCTAGGGGTTCGGCTCCTATAAATAGCCGCCTCCCCAGCCCCTCTAATCAAATCACAACGAGCATAATCACAATAGAGAGAGTGTTCAGAGAGCTCCGGTTTTCGCACAAAACCGCGAGTATTGAGAGGAGTTGTTTTATCCTGGAGACGACCGGTTGATAGTCTGCCGTGCGCATCGAAGGCAGTGTCGCGAACGTCTTAAAGAGAGCGACCTAGTCCGCGACTCAGCTCCAGATTCGGTAACCTCGTTCTTCTTGTTGTTCCGTTCCTAACATAAACCAGCCGATCCCAATTACTCGCGAGTTGCACACAATCATTTGGTCAGACCGGTTATGATATGAAATGTCATGAACTAGTGGATTCTGATAATTTGAGTTGTTGGGAGAAGATTAATTATGGATCCTATACCACTCTGTTGCATTAGTTAAATTGCACTGGAACGATTATCTACTTCATCACGAGAAAAGATTGCACGCGAACCACTAATAGGATAGTCGATAAAACTTAAATTGCCATAACTGCGAATATTTCTTTAGGATGCTAGAACTACTAATTAAAGGAAAATGGAAGGATACGAAGGGAGAAGTAACAATGGAATTCAAATTTATGAGAATCACAGTGGTCATTTGAGTACCATCAACACAGATTTGTTGTTCAAATCAATGTGACTATATATGTTTCAATAATTATAAAATGTGACTACTAATTTGGTCATGTTGTAGGTTTTGGAAAAAGCAGTTTATGGTTACAAATTTTTTTAAAAACTAAGTACTTAAAAAATAGTGAAGTGTTTGGCTGATGAAATATTAGAAAGAATTTTTAATATAAAATATCATGTAAAACGACTAAAACGAATTTCTAATACAAAATACGAATAAAAAAACATGGATATTGAATCGAAAGGTGGAGGAGAGATCATAAAAGAGAGCGAACATCTCTACAAATTATAGGCAGATCTATCGACGATCTTATGCACAGACTCAGTTCTTAGACCCAACCTCTCATCATATATGGAGATGAGTTGATGTTCAAAATGTTAGAGAGATAAGCTACGCAGGGAGACATATATTGTCCAATTATTCCAATAAAAGAAATACGAACACCATTGTTCATCACCGCTGGATCGAAGCGATTATTGTTCAACTAACTTGTGAGTTTTTCAAACTAAACAAAACTTAGCTCTAACTCACATATATAGTAAACGAATAAGTTCTCAAAGTGGCTTGTTAAACAATGTGCCGACGATTTTTCTCCAAATTGAATGAACTCGACTGATTTGGACCTCTAATTCTACGTGCAAATAAGACATGGAATCAGCTGAGTTACTGACTCGCTAGAACACAACACCTAACAATGGCCAAGTGTAACCAATGAAAGGGACTGCAGTATAGTGGCACAAGTAATAAATATCGAATCCACGGGTCTCTAGAGTTACTATTACTCAGCTTCAGCTCATTATCTAGCAAACTAGATTAAGGATTGATTTATAAACTACTTTACTAACTACTCTACTAATTACAAGTTGTGAACTCACTTAGGTATGATTCCCCCTAGCTCCTCAATTAGGTCCAAGTTGCAATTACCTTTGGTTGATCTACTGTTGATTAAACTGCGGAAGATCCGACAGTAGCTTGGAATCTCTTAAGCTGACCAAGCCCTCTCAGTCCAACTACCCGACAGGCGACTAGTCTTCACCGGGATAGAAAGCTGAGGCTATGAACACAGAACTCCACTACCAGAATTGGATTCAAGTACAAAGCAGTAGATTGACTAACTCTCGTATAACCAATTCACCACCATCAATCAAGGAAGCTCTCTTAACCTAATCAGATTCTATCTATCATAGGTTAAAGCAGAAATCAAGAGAATTTGATCAAGATTCAATTGACTCAATAAATCATGCCTCAATCGATTATAATCAAACAATATAGCATCCAAAACTTCATACAAGAAAGATCCTAACACATGGAACTAGGGTTCCACAAAACCTAAGTGAAGGGAAGTTACTCCATAGAGAAGAGAGAGACTGCAGAAATCTGATCTAGATCTTCAATCTCCATCTCCAAGCTTGATTCTCGAGCTCCAATGGCGAAGATCCTCCAAAATAGCTCCAAGAATGTTCCCAAGTCGCTCTCTCTCTCTAGGGTTCGTCCCTTGGGTGTTTGGGAACCAAAAACCCAGCTCTCCCCTTTCCTTTGGCTGAAAATCGAGTTTTAAATAGAAATTCCCGATCACGCGGCCAGGACACACGGTCGTGTGGCTTTCCCAGCTGCCCGTGTGAAGGCTAGGTGATTTCCACACGGCCACATGGCCAGTTCACACGGCCGTGTGGGTCTTGCCCGTGTGGCTTGCTCAGCCTCTGTTTAATGCTTCGTTTCTCCCTCGTCCGGACTCTGAATCAGTCCCCGTTTGATCCCAGACGCTCGTAGTCTCGTCATATTTCTTTTCATGACAAGATTGCATGATTCTTTGTCCATAAAGTGAGGTAGAAATACATTCTTCTTCAGGTCATGCCCGAGTTTCTTCTCCCGAATCGTCAATTGATCTCTGATTGATTTGAAACTTGCGCCTATGCTTCACTTTATGTGCTAGGACCTGAAATGTGATAAAGGAACACAACCTAGCATAAAATAGGACAAAGACGCAATAATTCAAGCTCAAACAATCTAGAAACAAAGGGGAAAACATGTGCAAATACCGAGTCATCAGTTACTTAATGGATTTTACTCTTAATTCCATCGACATCTCCATATCAATTAGATCTTGGCCCAGGAAGGTATCAAATAGTGCCAAGGATTTGTGTATAAACTTGCTTCTCCATGTTATGTGCTGGTGTATATGGCTTGAGAGGAACGCAAGAATTTTCAGTGAGGAAGGAGAAGCTAATAGAGTGGTCAGTTTCAAGGTGTGTCGTATAATCTTCAATTGGCTGCGAGATAAGAATAAATTCGAGAGATTTGAAGGGGAGAACGGGCTCTAAATTGTTAAAAATCATTTGTTTTCTAATGATAGAAACCTATTTCTAGGGTTCTATAGATAGTGTTGAGTGATTGAGAATTTAGGGATTTGGGGATAGAATTGGTTATTGAGACTGAGAATTTGGGAAAGAAGAAGAAAAGAATAAGAATCGGCGGAAGCCTTGGATTAGGGAAGAAGAGAAATTAGGAGATACAGAGAGCTAGGGTTTGTGAAGATAATTCTTTTATTGATTTTTGCTTAATCGAACAAATACCCAAAGTACATATTTATAGTTAAATACTGAAAAAACCTAATAGACTATCCTATTTGACTTAAATACCACTAACCATATCTAATAAAATCCTAATAATAGTAATAATGATAATTATGATAGAATCACGAAAATCGTATTTCTATCATCTCTTCCCCTAGAGACCAACCTTATCCTCAAGGTTGATAAATTTGATCCACTTCTCCACATCTCTCGCGCATCCATGCTTCTACTCCTCAATTTCCTGCGCTTTCTTTTCCTTCAATCATGCTCCATCTCTTTATTTGGGATTATTGCTTTGTCCGCTCCTATGGGTCGACCTCCTTCCTCAAATCCCTCGAAAACTTACCAACTCCCATTATCTCCTCCCACACCAATATAGGCTTTTGACTGCTCAGGCCCATGTGTCACTCAATTTCTCTGCTAATATTTTGTCTGATTAATACATAAATACCCACAGAGTCTTCAATCTTTCTTGATCCATGAGTTTTCATAAGTGAGACTCAGTTGGACTCATTCCTCGGCCCGCTCAACAGATCCTTGTGGGCAAAGTAAGGCTCAACTAGCCTCATCTTGTAGAATAGCACACGACAAGGGCTTATTTTGACTTCCTCAACAGACCAACCCACTTCCACTTGCCCACCAAACCCAAGGACCCAAACAGCTCGTCCCAACTTGGCAAGTTGCAGCGCTGGCCCACCCCAACTCGTCGACCTATGGTCTGCGAGAGGAGGAAACCAGTTGCGACCAAGCTCCTCCTTCCTCCTCCTCATTCTGTCGCTCACCATTGTCGTCTCCATCCCCGCTGACTAGAAATCCATCCGGCTCGCCCTCCGCCAACACGAAGGCTTGCCTGATTCCTTTGACTTCTCCTCAGCATGCACGCTCTCATTGACGACTTGCTCTCCTCCTTCTTCTCCGAAAATGGGCAACGCACCTGACAAAGAGGCGGTTGGCCTGCTGATGGCCTCAACTTTGTCCTTCCCTCCTCTTTGGTCCAAGCCGCCATTGGAGCCATCTTCAACCTTTCGGCCTGATTCACTGCACAAAGCACGTTACCCGGCAATTCCTTCTTCATCTTCGTCTCCGGAATCAAATCCACAATCCAAAAATCATTACCTGGTCCACCTCCAATTGCGACGCACTCCGCTGGCTGCACCAACCCAAGTCGCAGCAAACGACCTTATTTTTCCTCTTCTTTTGCCTGTGGCCGAGGCCCACTCTAGTTAGCCTAGTGGAATAAGAGGCCTTAGCAGTTCGGCTCACTTTCATGTGTTGCGGTTGGGCTTCTGGAAGGGAATGGCAATTTGACTGTGTTCGTGAGGAAAGAGCACCGCCACCACCCTCCTGATTCCTCAAATTTGTCGTCCTATTCAGTGACGAGCAGCAAACCTGGCGAAGGAAAGTTGACCCTCAAGCCATGTCCCTCCGCCTCCATATCTCCTCCATTGTCTGATGTTCCTTATTTGTTAGGAACACTCCAATCGGTGGCGAGATGGTAGCTCAAGTCTGTCATCTCCCTCTTAATACATAAAGACCCACAAAGTCTTCAATCTTCCCTGGCCTATGAGTTGGCATAAGTGAGACCTAGTTGGGCTCAATCCTCGACCCGCCCAACAGATCCCTCTGGCCCAAGTAGGGCTCAACTAGCCTCCTCTTGTAGACTAGCACACGACAAGGGCTTATTTTGACTTCCTCAACAGACCAGTGCATTTCCACTTACCCATTGAACTCAAGGATCCAAGCAGCTCGTCCCAACTTGACAAGTTGCAGCGTTGGCCCACCCCAACTCGTCGACCTAGGGTCCGCGAGAGGAGGAAACCAGCCGCCACCAAGCTCCTACTTCTTTCTCTTCATCGCGTCGCCCACCATCGTCGTCTTCAACCTGCCAAATAGCAATCCATCCGGTGGCTTGCCCTCCGCCAACACAGAGGCAAGCTCGATTCCTCCTCCTCCTCCTCCTCCTCAGCAAGCGCGCCTCCCACCGATGACTTGCTCTCCTCCTTCTCCGAAAATGGGCAACGCACCCGACAAAGAGGTGGTCAGCCTGCTGATGGCCTCAACTTCGTCTTTCCCTCTTCTTTGGTCCAAGCTGTCATTGGAGCCATCTTCAACCTTTCGACCAGCTTCGTCGCATAAAGCACTTTACCCAACGATTCATTCTTTGCCACCGATTCCAACTTGACAAGTTGCAGCGTTGGCACACCCTAACTCGTTGACCTAGGGTCTACGTGAGGAGGAAACCAGCCGGCACCAAGCTCCTCCTTCTTCTTCCTCATCGCGTCGCCCACCATCGTCGTCTCCATCATTGCTGACCAAAAATCCATTCGGCAGCTCGCTCTCCTCCAACATGAAGGCCAGCCTGATTCCTCCGCCATCACCTCAGCAAGCGCGCCTCCCATCGGCGACTCGCTCTCATCTTTCTTCTCCGAAATGGACAACGCACCCGAGGCAGTTTTTGGCAGATTATATAAATATTCCATGCAACAAAACTTTGGATGCTTCTCATGTGGCTGATTTTTCTTTTCGGGAGCTTCATGAAATTCTGAAGTGAGAGAAATTATTCTTCTAATGATCGATTCAGCCCGCAGAAGAAAGAAAAAATGACATGAGATACTTTCTCAGGGGCCATGTCCTGCTCAAAATGTAGACAATTGATGAGCAGACAAAGAGGCGGTCGGCCTGCTGATGGCCTCAACTTCATCCCCTCCTCTTTGGTCAAAGCTACCATTAGAGCTAGGGATGACAATGGGTCGGGTTTTCCCAAACCAAAACCCATGGGTTTATCCGTGAAAAAAACCCAAGATAAAACCCACTGGGTTTGAAAAACTCAAACCCAACCCAACCCGCTGGGTATCTGCGGGTTCATGGGTACCCACGGGTTTTTATCGTTAAAAATTTACCATAACAAGTTCCTATCAAAATTAAAGTCAATATCAATCTCTCAATACAAATTATCCATATATAAAACACCATTTCAGAAAATTCAAGCAAATCACAAATTAACTATACAAATTGTTCAACACCAATCTAGAAAACTCAAGAAAATTGAAGCAAATCATAAATTATCCATAAATAACATGATTAATTGAAAGCTTCTTCCTCCTTGTCAATTAAGTTTCTTCACTCTCCACTCGATAACATCAACTTCATTCTACACAATTAGAAAGAAAAAATTAGACATGTCTCCCCAAACATAAATAAGATTAGTTGTTTAGAATATTAAATATACCGAGAAAATTAATTATATGGGTGTGGGCGGGTACTGTGCGGCGTCTTGAGGTGCACTCATTCCTCAAGACCAGCCTCTCTGCATACGCATGCCAACTGGTTTCGTCCTGCCTTGGGCTCATCAGGGTGACGGCAATAGCCTCCGACCAGTTGTGCCTTCTCTTGCAATGATCCCCTTCATAGCCACATCCTGACTCGGCCAGATGCGATGCACAGGCAGACAACGCCTTATCGCTAAAGTCTCCCCCTTTACCCTTCTCATTGCAAGACGACCAGATGACAGCGTTCTTCAGACGATCAACACGGTCACGACATTTCGGGTCGTGACATTCTCCACCACTCATAAGTCATAATGCAGCACGTCCTCGTGCTGGTGAAGAATGCTTCTCTCCGCAGCATGTATTGCAACTCCCGAACCGATTATGGGCGTCCGCATACGATACCATCCTCTGATGGACAGGCTCCGATCGCGTCCTCGCTCTAGCTTGTTGTGCCTCGCGCACATACCACTTCGCCCCTCGACATCAACCTTCACTCTTTGCTTCTGCTGCGCTAGTACCTTAGTGGACCTTCACCCTATGCTATTCCCAGCATTTGTACCTCAATTTACCTTCACCCTACGCTCTCGCTAGCGTTAGTTCCTCGGTTGAACGACATTCTCGGCCGTTGCATCTTCATCCTGTCGAGGTCTCCCACAATGGCGCAACACATGTGTATTTGCGTCCGGACCGCCTGATATGCACACCTAGGACCGCCTCTCATTCGGGCATAAGGTCGGCCCATACACGACCTATGACGTACTGAGAGAGGAACTAGGCTCTTCAGCCTAACCAGGCTCTGATACCACTTGTCACGGACATAGACTTCCGAAGTTCGTGCGGCGTCTTGAGGTGCACTTATTCCTCAATACCAGCCTTTCTGCATACGCATGCCATCTGGTTTTGCCCTGCCTTGGGCTCATCAGAGAGACGACAATAGCCTCCGACCAGTTGTGCCTTCTCTTGCAACGATCCCCTTCATAGCCACATCCTGACTCGGCCAGATGCGATGCACAGGCAGACAACGCCTTATCGCTAATGTCTCCCCCTTTACCCTTCTCATGGCAAGACGACCAGATGGCAGCATTCTTCAGACGATCAACACGGTCATGAAATTTTGGGTCGTGACATTCTCCACCACTCATAATGCATCACGTCCTCGTGCTGGTGAAGAATGCTTCTCTCCACAGCATGTATTGCAACTCCCGAACCAATTGTGGGCGTCCGCATACGATACCATCCTTTGATGGACAGGCTCCGATAGCGTCCTCGTGCTAGCCTGTTGTGCCCCGTGCACGTACCGCTTCACCCCTCGACATCAACCTTCACTCTTTGCTTCTGCTGCGCTAGTACCTCAGTCGACCTTCACCCTACGCTACTCCCAGCATTTGTACATCAATCGACCTTCACCCTACGCTCTCGCTAGAGTTAGTTCCTCGTTTGAACAGCATTCTCGGTCGCTGCATCTTCAGCCTGTCGAGGTCCCCCACAATGGCGCAACACATGTGTATCTGCGTCCGAACCGCCTGATATGCACACCTAGGACCGCCTCTCATTCGCGCATAGGGTCGGCCCATACACGACCTATGACGTACTGAGAGAGGAACTAGGCTCTTCAGCCTAACCAGGCTCTGATACCACTTGTCACGGACATAGACTTCCGAAGTCCGTGCGGCGTCTTGAGGTGAACTCATTCCTCAAGACCAGCCTCTCTGCATACGCATGCCAACTGGTTTCGCCCAGCCTTGGGCTCATCAGGGAGACGGCAATAGCCTCCGACCAGTTGTGCCTTCTCTTGCAATGATCCCCTTCATAGCCACATCCTGACTCGGCCTGATGCGATGCACAGGCAGACAATTCCATATCGCTAATGTCGCCCCCTTTACCCTTCTGATGGCAAGACGACCAGATGACAGCTTTCTTCAGACGATCAACACGGTCATGACATTTCGGGTTGTGACAGTACCCATGGGGAGGGTTTACCTAAACCCAAACCCAACCCGGTGAATAGTGAACGGGTTTAAACCCGAATCTGGCCCAAAAACTATCAACACGAATTTTCCCGCGTTGACCAGGTTGGGTCGGGTGGGTACCCGTGGGTTCGGGTTTTGTTGCCATCCCTATTGGAGCCATTTTCAAACTTTCGACCAACTTCGCAGCACAAAGCACTTTACCCAGCGATTCCTTCTTCGCCTCCGTATCCGGCATCAAATCCCCCAATCCAAAACTCATTACTTGGTCCACCTCCAATCGCGGCGCACTCCGCTGGCTGCACCGGCCTAAGTCGATGCAAGCGGTCTTTTTCTTCCTCTTCTTTTGCTTGTGGCCGAGGCCCACTCTAGCCAGCCCAGTGGAATAAGAGGTCCGAGAAGTTTGGCCCACTTTCATGTGTTGCGGATGGGATTCTGGAAGGGAAGTGCAATTTGACTGTGTTTGTGAGGAAAGAGCACCGTCGCCGTTTCCTGCTTCTTCAACTTCGTCTTCCTCTTCATCTCCGACGACGA